ACTCGTAGAATCTAGTCTTTTTTCCTCTATTTTTTTCTTCACCCTAATCACCTCATCATTGTTTAACTATCCACTTTTGATTCTAAACTTTAAATCCGACTTCATTACTAAAATCAATAGCCTATCCTCATCTCTTTTCAGCACCATCTCTAGATTAAGCTCCTCCGGGTCCCTCAAAACACTTGTCTATACTACTTCCATTGATGTCCATGTTTTTATGCTTAAAGTATCTCGCTATTACATTTGCCTTCCCTAGATGATAATGCAGTACATAATCATAATCCCGTAACACCTCTAACCATCTCTTTTGCCTTATGTTTAACTATTTTTGAGTGAATAAGTATTTAAGACTCTTATGATTAGTATAAATCTTATATCACACCTCATATAAATAGCATCTCTAAATTTTAAATACAAACACCACTACCGATAACTTCAAATCATGTGTGGGATAATTCTTCTCATAGTCTTTCAATTATCTTGAGGCATAAGCTATAAATTTTTCCTCTTACATTAATATTACCCTTAATCCTATCTTAGAAGCATCCGTGTGCACCATAGAATTTCCCTCTCTAGTTAGGAGAGTCAACAAGGGTGCGATAGTCAACCTTTGCTTTAACTCTTGAAAAATCACATCACATTCACCTTCCCACTTAAATTTGACATTTTTCTTAGTTAATTTCGTCAATAGAACAACCAACTTCGAAAAGCCCTCCCTAAACTTCCGATAGTACCTAACAATTCCTAAAAAACTTTGTACCTTTGACATATTTTTAGGTTGTTTTCAATTCGAACCACCTCAACCTTACTTGAATCTACCCTTATCCCTTTCTTTAACACCACATGACCCAAAAACCTACCTCATCCAGCTAGAATGCACACTTTTTGAACTTTGCATACGGTTAGTGCTCCTTCAATGTTTGTAGTATGATCCTCAAGTGCTCTGCATGTTCTTCCCTGCTCTTAGAGTAGACGAGAATATCATTAATAAAGACAATGATAAACCTATCCAGGTATTTATGGAACACTTAGTTCATGAGGTCCGTAAAAGTTACAGGAGAATTTATGTCTGAAATGCATCATTAAAAATTCATAGTGATCATACCTAGTTTGAAAAGTAGTTTTTTTCACATCTCTTTTCTTAATTTTCAATCGATGGTATCCCGACTATGAATTGATCTTAGAAAAAATCGATGTCCCTCGTAGGCGATGAAACAAATCATCAATACGTGGAAGGGGATACATGTTCTTAATTGTTACTCGATTCAAACCTTGGTAATCTATGCATAACCTTCATATCCCATCTTTCTTTTTTACAAACAATACCGATGCACCCACGATGAATAGTTTGACCTTATATACCTCCTATTTAGTAACTCTTGTATATGCTCCTTTAACTCTTTTAATTCTATCGGTGCCATACTATAAGAAGCTTTGAAAATTGAAATGGTTATTGGCTCTAACTCTATCTCAAAATCAATCTCCCTCACCGATGGTAAACCCTTTAACCCTTTCGAAAATACATCCATAAACTCTCTTACTATCTCGATATCCTCTAGTTTTTTGTTTATCTCATGACTAGTATCTACTATATTGGCTAAATATCTTGTGCTTCCATTTTCTACCATTCTTCATGCTTTCATAACCGACACCATTAGTACCAACCTTACCTTCTCATTCACCTTAAACTCTAAGGGCTCTTCGCTAGATGGTTGAAATGTTATCACTTTTACTTTACAGATCAATTTTAACTTCATACTTTGACAAAAAAATTCATGTCTTGTAGTATATCAAAATTATTAATACTAAGCACTATTAAGTTCATTTTTATTAACCTCTCTCCCATCATAAGTTAACCCCTTTACCAAGTCCCTAGACTCCATTATATCCCTAAATGATAATATTATTTCATAAATAGATTCTAATGTTTTAGATTTCACACTAATCTTCTTACTAAAGACCTCGATATAAATGAATGTGTTGCTCTTGAATTTATCAAAGTATATGTAATGAGTCTAGAGATTAAGAAGTTACCATAAATTACCGTCGCATCATTCTATTTGGCTCTGTTCTTGAGTTAGGGTATACACTCGAGTTGCTACCCTCCGATTGGCTCCAGTTTTCTTAGGACATTGATCGGTAATATGCCCAAGCTCTTTACACTAGTAGTAAGTGTAAATACCCACCAAATAGTTTTTGAGGTGCATCCTTCCACACTTAACGCACGTAACTCTACTAGCTTCATTCCTCTTCGATGTAACATCATCTCTCTTAAGTTTTTTAATCCCAAATGAACTCCCGACCTCACCAAAAAGTTAAGCCTCGACCTCTTTACTTGAAGTTCTTGTACAATATCTTTTTAGTCCTCCTCGGCTATCAATGCATGGCTGAACATGTCATTATAAGTGGCGGCATAAGACATTCGCACCACTCGGGAGTGAGTCTTCGTGGGAATTGGTCCTTCTTCGACTTGGGGTCCTTAGTAATGAATGGGATAAATCAATTTCCATGCTCAAACCGATTGACATACTCGTCATCATCATGTTTTCCTACTTTAAATCAAAGAACTCCTACACCTTCTTAGATTTTACATCCGTGGTGAAATATTTAGCAAAGAAGATCTATTTGAAGCGTACCCAAGTTAGGTTAGATACGTCCAAAGAAACCTTAGCCATATCCCACCGAGCTCTTGTATCTCGAGCCGGTATAAACATAACTCCCTTCACCCAGATCAAAGTCTCCCATCCCAAAATGTTAAAAAATAACCTCTAGGGACTTAATCCAATCTTCAACAACTATAAAATTAGGGTTTCCCATAAACTCCTTCGTATTCAACTTTTAAAATTTCCCCATCATGTCACCTCTCCGATTTTGAGGCCTTTGATCCCTCGACCGTTGTAGAGCCAACAACTATCTTATACGCTCCTCACGTCATTCTTGCTTGTTGATGCGTTATATCTAGCATACGATGTATCAAGACCTCATTTTCACTTTTTGTTCGAGCGCCACTACCATTTCTAACTCGGTGTTTCCCATTTTTCTTAAAAGTATTCTATAATATTATCATTCGTTATTGGTTTAAATTTTTAAATCCTTTCACCTAGTCCTCGCCATAGAATTTAAACCAAGGGATTACTCAAATATGATTTATACTTGTCATACGCATATTTTAACTTAGCTATGTATATATATATAAAGAAAATCACTTACTTATTGATGTTGTTGTTGGGTTTCGAACTCATGTGTGTCATCATACATCAAACATACAATACTTCTTTATTCATTCCAAAACCATCAATAACTTTATTTTCTAATTAAGTCTATAGAATTTATTTTACTTTGATACCACATCTGTAATGTTCGTCGATCGAGACACCTCACTCGAAGGGTCACGATCGAACGATCCGATAATAAAACTTATACTTTTAGTTTTCTTAAAATTAAGCTCATAATTTAATCTTATTTATCTTTAAATATATCAATAATAATATATAAAAATAAAATTTTCTCATTAACATAGTAGAAGCGTTATTCTAATTTTTCACAATTTATAAAAATATCTCTCACCATAATTAATATTCATAATCAAATTCTAAGTAAAAATTTTCAATATTCATAAGTTTAACGTCCTTACATTTTTTATTTTAAAAAAATAAATGTTCATTTAAAGTATAACCATAACCTAATCGTTCGGGACATGCAAGGGGCACATGAGTTCGTTGGTTGCCGAGAGCAGTATCAACATCCTCAACATTATCCACACCACAAAATGGACGAGAGATATAAATATCCCAATATGTGTAACATGGATGATTTTTCATTAAAAATTTTTGTATATGAATGTCTTCAAAATTCTTTTCCTCATTTGGACCCGCTAGAAGATACTAACACCGATTAGCAAAGTTTAGTCTCAATAAAAACATGCATAAAAACATTAACCTTAACATTTAACGATCAAAACCTTAACTTTTAAACCCCAATGTTTATGCCTCGATAGACAACCTTAACTTTTAAACCTCAATTTGCATTAAAAAATGACCTCATTCATTTACTTAAAACATGCTCTTTCAATCAACATGTAAAACATATGTATGCATATGAATGCACCTCAAGATCCTCACACCACATGAATCACTTAAAAACACATAGCATTAAATCCACTAATTTATGTCATTTCCAATCAAAAAAAAAAAAAAAAAAAAATTCAAAAAATCGATGATGACTAAAGTAGAATTCCAACAGTTGAAATTGAGGCCGTTAAAGTTGAAGTTTCCAACGAAGGAGAAACAAAGATTGTTATGAGACACGAGAAGATAGAGAGAGAAGGAAAGCAAAAAAGAAAAAAAATGCATGGGTTGATACAAAGAGAAAGAAGTTAGAATAGATTGATACTAGAGAAGATAAAGGTAGTAAAAATAGTAAAAAGGAGGATATTAATTTGTGATTGCAAAATGTTTTTTAAGAAAAATGATTTTTTTAAATAAAAAATGACAATGTATTATTTATAAATGAGATGACTTTTATATGGCATAGAATATCTTATTTTAATAATTAAGTTTAAAAATATTTTATTATGAGAAATAAGATTTGAAAGTACCTTATTAAGGGAAAAAAACTCCCTATGTTACATAGAGTACCTTGCTTTGATAAATAAGCTCAAAACTAACTTATTATAAGAAATAAGATTTAAAAGTCCTTTATTACGAAAAGAAAATTAACTCATGCTCAACAACGATAAGGCTACTCCCATTAATCTGGAAGCCACGAGGTTATTATTTATTAATTATGATGTTGCCAGAAATGGTCAACTAATCAACAAGCGAACCAATTGGCGCTTTGATTCTCATTTCCATCTTTCAGTACTCATAGTCACTCGCAGGATCGCAAGGTCACTATTTATAGGGGAAAGTGTTGCTCATTCATCTGAACTAGAGACACTTCACATCTTGTTTATTATTGTTTCTTGATGTACAAACACACTAAACACCAAAAGTCAGAAATTAAGAAGCATGACGGAATGAAAGCCTACTAGGTGAATCAATTCTTACGACGAATTCGTCTTCAGCATCAGATTCATCACTGTAATTATCTATAATACGAGCCTCATTTATGCCTGTACTCTGCATTGGGGGAGTAGGAGCCTTTCCCCTCAAATTTCTCACTTCAAAACTCCTCCTTGCACTGGTGGCTCCAGACGGGACAGGAACTTGTTGGCGGCTACGAAATGATTCAGTTCTTAAACCTGAAACACTGTGTGATCGCTTAACTTGGCTACTGGAAAAGCTGTGGGCACGCCTCCGCATGTCAACCTTGTGAAATGAAACAAGAAGCCGGTAAATTTCAAAAGAATCAGGACGTAGGATAATAAAGTTCCATTATCAAGAGACAAGTGTGATGATTTCTAGCTCCCTCTTATACAGTTTCATAGCATGGAGGCACGATGCACAATATCAAATGGTTGCATGAACGATTAAATTATGAAACCATAAAGCCGACGAGCCTGTGTATTACTCAATATAAACATTCCAGACTTATTCATTGTTTGACCAGCAATGATCCCGAGAAGGTGCTTTGGAATGTATCTTTGCAAATAGATATAAAATGAACATACCATGCTGCCAAAGATACTCAGCTGCATTGCTCTTGCAGACAAGCTATTTGCTGGTCGATCAGTCCCTTCAGAGTTCTGCTTACGTTCCCTTGGTGGGTAAAAATTTTCAGGCCAACTCACAAGGCCACCATGCTCTCTTGTTAAAGGTCTATGGGGGTGATCAACCAACACTGAGGATGATATCCTCCTCAAAGCACCATCAGCTTCAAATGCTGCAATGTCAAAAATGATTACCCTCGCTCTTGTCTCAACTTGATACCGGGATCTGTGATGAGTGAAACTGGCTGCCTGGGCACCTGTAATCCATCAGTATCAGTGACCTCGTTCAAGTACCTTCTAATTGCCATAACCCAACAACCAAAAAGAGCATCATTGAATTAGAGTAGTAGCTTAACCCATAAATAACCTGTTTACATGAAGGTTAAGTTATGATTAACAGTATACAATTTATACACTCAAATACAAATTCAACAAATACTTAACTCATTGATTAGGGCACGAGATCTATTACAACTCATCCTGTTTAATTTTGTCAGTTAAAAACAGCACATCACTGAAATGCTTCTGTAGACACTGATGTAGCATCATTGGGCTGTGCAACATCAATGATTGTGATTAATGGAATTTATTATTGATTTATTTGTCCAAAACAAATGAAGGCCACCTATCCTCCAAAATCATTTTAAATCACTGCAAATCAACTTCCAAACCAAGATGTATGTACTAAATTAACCAAAACAACACTCGATACTAGTGACAAATGTATAGCAAAGCTATTCCAACTAATCAACCCAACTGGTTGCAAAATTGCTCAAGTTTGAAAATGAAAACATTATGCCACCAACATATCAAGCTAAGTTTCAGGGCTCTTTGTCGCTCACCTCTCAATCTCCAGCTCTCTAACACAAAAACCTCCACTGACACTACTGTATGGTTTGAAAAAATAATTAATTTAGCTAATATTTAAAACTATAAAAAATAATCTGTGGGGGTCATTAGAAAGAATAGAAAGAGTGATATAGCAATTTTGTTTTTGAGTGGCGGAATGCTAGATTGTTTGTGTAGCGTTTAGAATAGTTTGATACTAATCTAACAGAGCGATGTTTTTGTCTTTTTCTAATTTTATATTTTTGATATATTTTGGTCGTATGAAGCATTTTGACAAAAGCCTCTTACATAGTTAAGGGTATTTTGGTTGAATCAAATGTTTCAGTAAAAGTCAGTGCTTTATATATGGATTAAGGATTTGCTCGGATGCACAGAGAATATCAGACGTTAGCATCCAAAAAGGCATTTATTGTTCACACTCATTGCATTAATGCGTTTAGCAAACATTCATTTGGACCTGTCTTAACAGCAGATTAGAAGTTCAAATACTATACTGGGGGAAAAAAATATGACTCAAGTAGGAATTTCCAGACAATTCAAGTACTATTTTTGACATTCTCGCGAGTGCAAAATATTCCTATTCTGGCAGGCCGTGGCTTGATGGTTGGTGCCCGGAGTGCTCGTTGAGCAAGTCCTGTGTTTGAGCCATGATAGGATCTTGGGTTTGGGTTGTTTACAAGACTTCTATGTCTCCTGTGTACCGAAAAAGAAAAAAATGGGAATTTCTTTGATGGTTAACAGGATGTATGTTTCTGTCTCTGTCCCCCTGTGGTTGTCCTAGGGACCAAAGTAACAGAGAGGTTCAAGTATAACAGATGCACTAAAAGGCTCTATTGCAATTTTTCCAAAACTAAAAGCAAACAAATCATCCATTAATTTTTGAAAAAATTCAGCATAAATTACCTGATATCTCTATGTTTTGAGAGCTTTGATTTCCTTTCAGAGGTAAAAGCACTGCAGGTGATGCAATTAATTCTTCTTGGAAACCATGGGCTTTTATGAATCCTTCTAATAGAAAGCCAGTAGAATGATTTGGTACTTCTATAGTTTCTCCCCTAATGTACGTGGTGATCACTGACCTCTCTGCAACAAGGGCTCTCAGTTCTTGCATTGACATTTTTTCAAATACTTGAGGAAGCAGGAGTTTGGCAAGAATGATTGCACTTTCCTGGAACACCACATGAGAAGAGGAAAGAGGAACATAGGTTCAAGTACCAATAACCATAATCAACATAAATTAGGTCATTTTTATACTCTTCCAGAGTAGCCAGGAATTATAAGGCAATTAAACACTATGGATCGGGGAAACATCCGATTCTTGACTTATTCAACATCTTAATCAGTGTGAGTAATTTCATGGATGGAGGAGAAATGTGTCAGTCTAAACCAAAACATATCATCATACCTGCCACAGGAAATCTTCAACTGCAGGGTCCAACCCTAGCACTGAAAATATTTTCTCTCTTTCAATAAAAAAGCAGAGTACTACAGAATCTGTTATTATGTCACACATGCAACGTTTCCCAACTAGCAGTTCATACAGGCCCAGTGTGCTTCCATGAGTAAAACTTGGATGCAGTGAGTGTCTGCTCCTAATGCTCTTGCTAGTCCACTGCCAAACAATAATTTTCACTTGTGAATTGTGATTCATTTGTTCCCAAGGAAAACAATAGTATATTGACTTTATTCTGAAATACCACACTTCCCATATAAATTTTTATTTACCTTGACAACACCATTGGAAATAAGCCAGACACCATTGGGCTTGGAGCCTTCTTTGTAAAGGTGCACGCCACGTGGTTTCATTACTTCTTTGGCAGAACCTTCAAGGGGTCCACGCACCAAAGAAGGAAGGGCCCCCAACAGCGGATGGACACCAATCAAATCAGTAATTTTGGGAACCTTTACTAAAGGAGGATTTCTAAGAAGTCTTTTCAAGTCGGTCTGCATTAGAAGATAAAAACATTTGAACTTGAATTTACAAAAGCTGCAATGTATCAACCAAAGACCATAACATTTGCCAAGGACAAAGCCAAAATCACCTGGACAGCATCATGAAGATGAAGCATCTCCTTTTCTTCCAATAACCCAACCTTCTCAAGATTTTGGACATAATCAGTTAAATGGTTCAGCACTGAATATGTTACTTGTCTTGTCTTCACAACACGTAAAACCTGAAAAAGTATTGAATAATTATTTGTGCTCTAAGATCCCCCAAGTCAGATGCTATGGTTCTGTTTGACATGATTTCTGACTTTGAGTCGTAATTCAAAAGATATTTTTTATTAATAACTTAAGATAAAAATGGTTTAGAAGTATGCTTGGAAATATTAACTCAAAGCAAGTTTTTTGATGAGGGAGGTAGTGAAAGTTAGAAGTTAAAATTTTAACTTTTGATAAAAGCAAAATATTGACTCAATTTTATAACAACTTTTTGATAATTCGAAAGTTACTTCTAACCAAACATATTTATGACTTCTCTTTGAGTCAAAAGTTAAAAAACAACTTAAATCAATTTGCAAAAATCATAACAAATGGAACCTATATCGACAATAAACTCATCTTGAAAAGCCTCCTACTAATCTAAACCATATGAATGAAACAAATGTGATGACCCACAGACATCAGCTACCCAATTCCAAGCAGAATCTATTATAACTAAACAAATATACAGGGACAGTTAAAACTCACAAACCTGAGGAAATGTAACACGAACATCTTCCAAGAACTTTCTTGCTTCTTCTCCTTCTGCCTCGCTTTCGTTAATGACTATAGAAGCAATATCACTGTCACCTAGAAATGTAAATAAACAGGAACAGTCAAACTTCTTAAAAAAATTTACACTCTATACACAGAAAACAAATAAATGTATCACTCGACTGGAAGCCACTAAGAGCACATTTAACTCAGGTTATTAGCATCAGAAAAATTTTTAGAGGGGTAAAAAGATGTTTATTCCAGGGGAAAATATCTTCCCACTTAATATATAACAACAGAAGTACGAAAAAGCATTCTTCTACCCAACATCATGCAGGAATTATGTTTTTAGACTACCTACTATTTATCAAATCTAAACCAAGATTATCATTTATCATGATCCAGGTATTGCAGAGCATCTCAGAGCTCCTACAAAGTGGACTTTTCAATTCATCCTAGAAACGGCAGAGTGTAGACCTGAAAGGTAAAAAAACAAGGGAGAAGGAAAAAGAGAAAGATAATGAGAGAAAGAGGAGAATGGACCAACAGAGGTTTCTAGCAGCAATTATGAGACTCAAAGTTCAAAAGCTAATGATCAGTAGCAGCCTGTCTGTTATGGATAATGAAGTGTTCTTCCAGAGACTCCAAACCAAAATCAACTGGATTAGGAATGGGTATGCATTCAGAAGGAATAGGTTTCCTTCACCTAACTAGGAATAGAACGATAAAATAAAACCCAAGTCAAAGAGCCGAAGTTAAACTTCTATTCTCGTTTCTATTTTTATTATTCCTGCTATGGTATATATTTCTTCCAGAGACTCCAAACCAAAATCAACTGGAGTAGGAATGGGTATGCATTCAGAAGGAATGGGTTTTCTTCGCCCAACTAGGAATAGAACAATAAAATAAAACCCAAGTCAAAGAGCTAAAGCTAAAAATCTATTCTCGTTTCCATTTTTATTATTTTTCCTATGGTAAATATCCTAAAATTCCTTTGGTTGTTCCTAATAATTTCCTTTAGCCCAAAGGAATTTGATTTCAAAGAGTTCCACAACAGAAAAACCAATAGGACTAGAAAAATAAAAAAAACCCAAGTCTAGGAACTGAAATTAAATTTCTAATTTTAGTTTCTATTTTTATTATTCTTCGCAGAGCAGACATCCTAAAATTCCTTTGACTGTTCCTAATTATTTCCTTTATCCCAAAGAAACTTGATTTCAAAGAATTAAGACTGCAGATAAACCAATACCTCAGAATCCACAAAATAATCCTCTTCAATCCAGGTTGCCTTAGAATAGAGACAACCACATGACAGGAGAAGAAACCTCTAAAATCTACCATTAGAATAAGCAACAATCTCAACATGAACTACGACTCCAGTTTTATCTGTGCCATGAACGACTATGAATTTTGGGCACATGATTGCCTGCATGAAAACTTAGAAAGCAATGTAGGATTAAGAGGTAGAAATTTTCTAAGTAAATTGGCCTAAGAAAGAGCTACAAGATTAACTTAAATGCATTCTAAATTCTTCTTAAATGCACACCATTTACCTATCAAAATCACAATTTCCAATTAATTCTAACTTTTTTTTTTAAGAAAAAATGTGACATGCTTTTAAGGTTGGTATGGTATTTCATAAAACAATAAGCAAAAGATCCAGGCAGAACTTTTTGACTAAAACAGAATCTGCCAATGAATGAGCCATAAGACTAATACATCTTCAGACATGTAAACTCTTAAGCAAATATTTAAGTTGCAAGTTCCATGCAGATCATGGTGATGGGGAATGAAGGAGAACACTTGTATTTCTGAATCGGTGAAAACATAGGGTGCAATAACTGGTTTGGCCAAACTAGAAACCTAATTTGACTACTAAATAAAAAATACTCACATTCCTATATAACACTGAAGCCATTCTCACACCAGACCATGATAAGGCAACTGCATGTATGTTCAGTAGCATATCTGCAATTGTTTATCTGCTCTCCATCTCATTCTACCTTCCTACAGGCCTTGTAACTGATAACTACAAGCTACAATTAAGCACTCGATATCTCTCTTCCTAACCAGATTTGTTCTACATAAACATAAAAATAAAATAAATAAATAAAATTTTGCCATAGACCTCATATGATGGTATACAAATTCTTCCACTACTTTCCATGTTGTCATCAGTCTGTTCATGCACTAACTAATTGAACCAGTCATGACAAATTAAAATAATATTTCCACTAAGGGACCAGCCCAAACTCTGCTTCCATACCTTATTAGATTTTGAACCTGGATCAACCCAACTGAGATTTATACAAACTAACAGTAGAACTCTATCTTCCATGCTGTCATCAATCTGTTCATGCAACAATAAGTATTCGAACGGCCATGATGATTTGAGTTTCTAGATCAAATTTAGCTTTGGTCAAAGTTACTATGCACAGGTGCAGTATCTTTAAATGCATCTCAGATATGAGATTCCTCGAAATTGAAATTCTGTCATCAATCTGTTCATGCAACAACAATAAGTATGCGAACTGCCATGATGATTTAAGTTTCTAGATCACATTTAGCCTTGGCCAAAGTTACAATGCACAGGCGCAGTATCTTTAAATGCATCTCAGATATGAGATTCCTCGAAATTGAAATAAGACATCTCATTAAAGAAAATTGCTGGAGAAGTTAAATTGTGTGCAATAGTCATTGTGAAATAATGTAAATTCTGAAGCATAAAAAGCCACCAAAAAAAAAAAAAAAAAAAAAAAAGAAAGAAAGAAAGAAAGAAAATGAAATGAATGCAAATATAATGACCATGTAAGGTTCGATTTTCTTCTGTAACGAGTGGCACACTATAACTAAGCACTTATTTACGATGCATTGCAACAGCATATTGGTTGATAGTTTCTGATCTTATAGACAAAAAGGATTAACAGTTTATAGGAACAGAAAATGTAAAAGCCACAGACTGCATTCAAGGAAAACTGTAAATAGAAAGCCAAAAAAACAAATTTTGAAAAAAAGTAATTTGATCAAGTAAAATCTTGTCCATTAGAAATGCACCCAATAGCCTAAAACAATGAATAATTTACCAATAAAGTCATGTAGTTGCCGACGGGCAATTCTATGGGCACGTAGAAATGCAGCACAAATATAGCATGCAGATTCAAGCCTCTCCACAGTGAAAAAAGTAACCATTTTTCGAGGGATAATGCTTGCTTGAAGGAGCTTGTAATAACTTGGAAAATGAACATTGGACCGCAAGCCCTTCCAATCACATAGAGGCTCATGGGAAGCCAAGTCAATTGCTTCATCTACTGATTGCATCAAAATATTTGCAGTTGTTTGCATTATCCTTCCCTCATCAAGCATTCCCCAATAAGCAGCCTGGACTCCTGGTATAAAATAAATAAAAATAAATAAATAAAATAGAATAAAAATTTCAAAAATCAGCAATTACTTGCACATTTCAGCTAGGGTTGGTTTAAGAAAAGATTTGACAATGATTCGCAATGAAAAAACAAGTTCCACAATGGAACTTTGATGCATTTCTGAAAACAGCATCTTCTTTGTCCATCCAGTCGATAGCATAACAAGCTTTTGATTGATTTATAAGATCATAACCTTTGCCTATCAGAGATGGTCATTTTGCTCAACATGTATATGGTATTTAGATCTAGGAGGAAGCTTTTGGACCTTAAAAGGTACTTCTAGCTTTGGCCATAGTCCGTTGGCCTTTCAATTTTCCATGGACTTACAGGTTGGTGTGAATGTTTTTCCTCTCTCTTGGACTTACAGAATGGTGTAATGCATGTTTTTCCTCTCTCTTCTGATTTTAGGTCTTGTTTGAATTTTTGAGGCATATATTATGGTGGAAAAACTATATTTTTTTTTTCCAGAGGAAACATCCATTTTCAAAGTTTTTCTTCGAACCGTATAGGAGAGAGAGTAGAATTACAACAGAGTTTCTTCATATAATCTAACATGAAATCCTTAGGCAAACTGCATGGGCTTTGGTCCCAAATTCTAAGAGGCTATTTAAGCAGCTTAAAGCATCATTGTTGTGAACTAATTTCTTCCAAAAGCTGAATGCTCTTTCTTCTCTTTCTTGTCTGATTTAATACTTTTCTTCAATTCGTGTATAGTCTTTCAAAATGTGTTTACAGGTAATCATGATAGCTTGGCATAGAGAAAGAGTCCCCTCCATTTAGATTTTAGTTTAAAAAAATGGATGCATGACACCTTCTCACTTGTACTAGTCCCCGAGTATCCTTTTCTTTTTCTCCTCCTCCTACTTATTCTTCTTCTTTTTTCTTTTTTTGCTTAAAAAATGAAGTGACAGCTCTTGCTATCTAATTGATAGTTATTTCTATGACTCAAAACCTACACAAACTTTCAGGCACTTTTTTCTACAAACTAGCAGAACCTTAACTCAATTCCTTAGCCTTTGAATAAAATAATATACATCCAAGCACACAAAATTCCTTTTCCTTCCGCAGATAAAGTAAATGGGGACGGCACCTGAAGGTTATTTCTCTCGCCAAAACCCCAACCAACCACAGAAAAAGCATCAGCAATTAAAATAATGAACGGAGTAGCAATAAACAGCATACTTACCATTTAGAAGGCGTATCCGTAAATCTTTCAAATTATTTGGCTCTAAATTATTATCAGCTTCAAATGCACTATGAGGGTGTTCACATGAACCTTCCAAATTATCTAAGCTTGCAATGTATCTTTTGACCGTAGGCCAGTCAACAGGTCCAAGTTCCTCATCATCTCCAAGATCACCAAAAGCCTCTAGTGCTTTATTCAACATTTCATACTTTGTATAGTTCAATATACGCTTCTGCAGAAGATAAAATATGTCAAAGATGACAAAAATAAGTAAATAGCTAGAAAAATAAAAGTAGAATGACTAATATTTTCACTAATTTACAGATAAAGAAATTTTTTCGTCGAAACATAAAGAATGCCCCTTGGGTGTCTTTCAGCAATACTGGATACATCCATGACTTGCACCATTTTCAATACAAATGCAATAAAAGCAAAGTATAAACAGTAAACAGAGGGAAATGAGAGAAAAGAGGAGAAGCCAAGAAGAAATAAAGCAGCCAGAAGGAGAATTATAGATTCTGTTTGACACCCTTCAAGTCAGGTTATCTCAAATACAATGATTACAGACACACAAAACCTGATAAAATATTAACAAAATATGAAGCTAAATTCGTATGCAAACAAAACAGATTTAACTCCCACTAATATAATCCAATAATTCCTAACTAAGAATAGCTTAAAAGGAAATAAGCCAAAAAATCCCAAAAGTACAGAATCCTTGATAACTAGACATTAACATAAACCTCACCTTGGTAGCTGATAGCTTATCCATATCTAGAACATGTAAAACAAACTGTGTAGTTGACCCATTCACAATAAGAGTCAGAAGTACGATTCCGCCAGTGAAGAAAACGAACTGTGAAGGTGGAGAATTGGTTACTTTAAAATGGTCCAAAATATAAAAAGGACAGAGAACTCAATAGATTCGCAAATACTTTATTATATTGCTAGATTCCTAAAATTGTCTGATCCATAAATTTGACAGAGAACTCAATAGAAAGCCAAGGATCAAATAAATAAAATACCATGTCTGTCCAAAGTACTCACCAAGGTTCCCGTTTCAGAACTGAGATACATCGAGCTGTCACTAGTGCGCTGACATGTATAAGAAGTAAAAGCATTAGATGTAAATTATATGGTACAAAAAAATGCATAGATATGATAGATAGCTTTACAGACACAATTTTCTTCAGATGGCTTTGGATGGACATCAATCATTTATTCGCTTAGGATGAATGGGTCATGTAAGCTGTCTTTGGTCATGAGAACTATGAGGAAACTTTTGGTTCAAAAAACACACTTTCTACTCACATCTTTATAATCTCATGGTCAATAAGGAAATGTTCAGACATCAAATAAGGATCCAAATGAATTAAATCAAAGAGTGCATGGACATATGATGTTACAACAGAATGGAAAAAGAAAATAAAATTAATCGCCAGTTTAATCAATGAAAACTTGCTTGCCTTGACAGATAATGAAAGTGATAATGCAACAGCCCCTCGAAGACCTGACCATATGAGAATGATAGCTTCCTTCCAATCCAAACCGTAACCAAAATATTGTAAAAATGGATACAATACTCCAACAACTACAAACCGGGATAGTAGCACAAACATGTACAGAAGAAATAGGTAGCCCCATGCATACCCTGAAACAAAACCAGGATGCATTTATAGACACCTTTATAAAAAAAGAATAATGCTGGAGACAATAAAAATCTACTAACAGTTTCTTACTAACTAATGCGACACCTTGTGATAAGTGCTATATTAATTTTTTGTTTTTTTGTTTTTTTTTTAATTATCATATCAAATGTCAAGTCAGCTAGTAAAAATCTTGATATCCCTAGCTTCCTCTTAAGAAAAATCAAATGTTAATGCATAGACTTGTTAGCACTGTAATAACGAAAAGAAAATAAATTTTATATATGCATCAGACCATAAATGAGACCCAGATGTTATTAAGTCCAGTCCAGCCAAGTTGCTTGGACCATAAACTCAGCCAACTAACCATTAAGTTGGGTCAGTTCTATTTTTGAACCAGTTAAGAAATGGACCTAGTGAGACCAGCTAAATAATTGACCTGATGAAACCCAGACAGGTTGAAACAGGTCTGTTCAAGCCATTACACTCATCAATCTCCTGAAAGGTAGCATTTGAACTGAAGACCAAACAGTATGACCATCAAACTTACGAGCAGGCAAAGATGATCTTGTTTATTCTATTATAGCAATATATGATATCGCATGTTACTGAATACATATAATTAAACATTCTCTAATTATATCCATTATACATTTTTGAAGAAGAGTATGTTTAAGAAATCAAGTATAAGAAATCCAATAAAGTTTGGATGATTTATAAAAGTTCATGGTCAAACATTGGAGTGATATAACATTATTTTTGAAAAAGAGTATGTGTGACACGTTTATAGACATTTCATTTTGATTACTTAAAATACACAACATGACCCTTGAAGAGTTGGCTCAGGAGGTAGTGGATTAGCTCCCTAAATTATCATCTAGGATATGAATGCATAAAGGCCGCAGGAAAGAAATTTCTCGTGAATGCACCCCTGCCTAAGACCCCATCAGGAAAGGACAGTCTCATTACATAGAATTGGCCCAAGGATACCCCCTAACCATTAAAAATAAAAAGTAAAAAAATAAAAACTTAACCAACAAATATAAAACCCATTTTGTTATGATCTTTAATATTCATAGTAATCCAATTGACAGATTTTTATTTAAGATAAAAGTTATGCTAAAGGGAAACTTGGCTACGGATATAATGTTGCTTTTACATAGATTAACACATAGGAAGCAATTTTATATATTTTTAATAATAAGTTTTTAAATTTAAATATTTAGTTGACTTCGTAGTTCGACAATGACTGATTTCAAACCAGGAGGCACTCTCAAGAATATTATCACTTGCACTCCAAGCAAGGGAATGATAATAAAATATCTCACACAACATCCAAACAAATCCAAAAATAAAACGAGTGAAAATAAAATAGGAAATACATTCCCATATGGGTAATATTTCCATGATGACGTTGATTTGTTAAAAGCTTGTAACTGTAACTGATAATATGAAAAAAAATTCCTTATATCCTGATATAAAAGATTACAAGTTTTTTCAAAAAAAAAAAAAATCTTTTTTTTATATATATATATATAAAAAAAGACTAAAATTTCATTTCAGGGCACATAAAGCATTGGAAATCAACGATACAGAAGAAAAAAATCATGGAACAATTTTTTACTTGAAAGAGATTGCATTAAGGTTTGACCAAGAGCACTTGAAAAGATTTCTATGTTATGGGACATGAAGATTATGGTCAATACAAAATGCTTACACTACCAGGAATGTTAAAGCAGGACAGTAGTCCTTCTATGACTTGGTGGCTAGCATGGCGACAGTTCCCCAATCCCCACTTTATCAGGGTACCACTTGGTGGTTGCTGGTTAGAGTGCTCATAGTGCACATGGAAAGGGAACTACATTGGTGAAAGGCACAAACCCTAAATAGGTTTATTGTATGCACACGTGGGGATATGTAGTCTAAAAGTGAAAATACCATGGTTATGAAAAATATTCCCACTTCTCAGAACACCTTCGGCTATAACAACGCCACTGCGAAGGAAAAGAGCATCAAACTTTAATGAATCTCACAATTAACCATGAATATTATAAAGTAAAATAGCAATAAGATATATTTATTCAACTGGAAAATAGCTTGAAGGAAGGAAAAAAAAACAACCATAAGCAGAAGAGCTCAAGACAAGATGTTTTAATGGTTTGTCCCATCAGTTGGTGAGAAACCCAATGACAATGATTTAGTATTGAACTGAAAGGAACATGATAAATATGACAGTCTCATGGCTCGGTTGAATGGTTATAACCAGTGGATGATAATGTTTCCTTTATTTCCATCAGTAAAGGGACAAGTATTCTTCAACAAATTCACATTTTCAGTAGTTAACAATCAACAATGGTTGTTTTTGTCAAGGCTAAAAGTCCATTCTAAGGTGGAATAATTATTAGGAAGAAAACATGCCATATACTTAAAAGGAGATTCCTTGTTCTGATAATTTAAACACCAAAGATGATCCGAATGCAATTCAAGAATTTAATCATTGAAAGTATAGAGCACACTGTTCCCTCTCTTGAGCTGATTGGCATTCCTTTGTCTTCTTTCTTACCTATTCTAGGTATTAAATATAACAAACACAACAAAGATTTACCGCTGATCTCATTCCCAAACCAGAAAGCAAATGTGGTCTATGGATCAAGGCCTCAGCTTGGGCGCACAAGTTGCATATGACTTTTCATGATGTTAACTGGTTTAATCAATGCCTTCTGGTTTTATTTAATGGTTTTCCTAACTCAATAACATAATCATTGACATCTAACCAAAGACAAATTTACAAGAAAAATTCCTCCAAGCATACATCAAGAATAGCAACAGCTTAAAAATATGCAAATTGATTTCTTACCTTAAGATGAAAATTAAAGTATTTGCAATATAAGCAATCATTTCCCTGGAAGAAAAAAAATATGTGAAATGGATTAAAAATACAATTTTGTTTAAGAATTGCTTTCACATGATAACAAGAAATGTATTCGTGGGGATTATGGATCCCACAAATGCTCTTTTGGGAACAGTGGATGGCTATATTATTTTCAGGTTTACTTTCAGAAGATATCTGCTATCTTCAGTTTCTGTGGTGACTCTCAGAAATTTAGAGCTGCCATGGCTCTTAATTAGGAGGGAAAAAATTATATTAGCAGCAGCAAGTAATATATTAAACCTTGTGTGAATGTTAAAAAAGTGCAGCATCTCAGGTCTTTTGCAGTCTGCATCAAACACCCAACATTTTCAAACAAAATTCTCTAAAAAGTTTTAGGAGCCCATGCATATAAAATTACCCCTACTGCGATATACTAATGCCACCGTTCCTTCTACAAATAAAAGATATCTCAAAACATTAATCATAGGAGGAAGATATCATTCTTGTCATTGTATTTATTCTTTCTTAAGCTTGCAATCTTACTATCGGATTTTAGCTACCTCGATCTGAAAGTCTTTTGGAAGATTCAATTCCACTTTTATCTCTCATTTTCTACCTCACTATCAAATGATCATCTCAACTCAAAAGCTTAAGCTATTAGGTGAAGCTCTAGAATATGATTTATATTATTCTATAACACACCCTCTCCAAGTGAAAACTCTTTGGGCTTGAAACTTACACAAGCCCACACCACCTTGTGCTATTATATTTTTAATTTGGGAGAAAATAGGGATGGTGAGGTTTGAACTCTTGACCGTTTAATCATCAAGGCTCGATACCATATTAAACGACTATCTCAACCCAAAAACTTAAGCTGTTAGGTGAGACCCTAAGATATGATTTATATTATTTTCTAACTCTCACCTTTCTTTTTTGTTAGTGTTAAAATAATTCAAGCTGTTAGAAAATGGTGGATCACTGTTTAAAAGTAAACACATGCAGACCATGTACAAGATATTGTTTTCTACAAAATGTTGTCCCCAAAATACATTTAACCCAGATTGGTAATCAAAACTTTTACAACATGCTTAACCAATCTCATCATGTGAAGTGGATGATTTCTCATGGACTAACACAACAGTTTCCAGTCCTCGTTGAGAAATCAGCCATTCCGTTCTTCTTTCTTAAGGAACTTAATCATTATAAAAGTCTCCATGCATTCCCAAAAATGACACACATAAGCACTAGGCATACCAAAAATGATGTAAGCTCTGTTGGCCATCACCCTTGAAAGCAGTCCTGGCTACTGCAGCATAGAACCTGTCCAGTGTAACGTCAAGAGATACCATTTCTCCAAGTTGCTAAGAAATTATTGATAGTTTATCAACTTACATTCCTAAAGTCATCACTGCCAAAACACCAGAAACATCAGCACCCTCTTGAGCCTGCCACATGAAAATCCAATTCATAAGTTTTTTGAGCCACCATATGCCATTACAGTTTCAAATGTATTTTAATAATGGATGAACAAGACATACATGCCTGAATAACATAAATGCATGACCTGGCCATAAAGATTATAAAAATGGAACTGCTTATAAATTCATTAAGATTACAGAGCAACAACAACCAAGCCTCAATCCCAAATTAGTTGGCTTCGGCTGTACGGATCATTTTGTCATTCAGTGAGACCGTAAATCCTTTGATACAAACCACAGTGCACCAAGCTAGGAATCAAATTTCTCATACAAAGCATTTCTTACTTCAGATTGCAAATCAAGCACCAATATAATTTGTTGCATGGAGAAATGTTGCAACAAGAAAAAACAAGCACCACCGAAATGACTCCATCCTTATGAAACTTTCAAGACTCTGAATCTCACTATGGAAAGCTAGTTTTGTATTTTCATAATTAATAAGGAGCAGTTAAAATCAAGCTAATCAATCACCAATGAGATTCATTTTGAAGCATCATGAGGATTAACAGATACTGGAACATATTTTTAGAAAAAAGATAAAAGAGATGAGATCATAAGAAACGGTAAAATCCGAACGGAGGTTGAAGACCAACCATGGTCACACAGAGAGAAACAGAGGTGTAACTGTATTGACCAAGTAGATATCAAATCCATTACTGGAATCCAAAACTCTAGCCTTCTGATTGTCATTTGCAGTTTAAATAAAAGACCTTGTGATGCACTCATAATAGAATGGTAGAATTCAAAAATGTTTATTAAGATATTTAGCTAATAAGGCGACAGACATTTAACTTGCCATCCAGATAATAAATAAATTTAAAAGGTGCCCCGAGTTGGAAAGCAACATACAGTGAAGAAAGCAATGTAGCTCACAGCTAGTGTCAGCGCAATCTCTATCACTGTGTCATTGAAGATAAACCCAAGCCACAAAACAGATGCAATTCCAAAAGCAATACCAATGCCTACACTGGATCAAGAAAAGATTTTCATTTCAAGAGTGAAATCCTTCACTGAACAAATTAAAAGTAATTGACACCTACGCTCCAAGTGAGACTTGAGTTAGAAATTTGACTATGGCACCCCAGCTAAAGCTTTCCCCGAGGACCATCCGATAGAATAGCTGATAGACCACAATTGCTGTCCTGGACATAGAAATTAAAAGCATTCAAAGAAGACCAAAAAATATAAAAAAAAATAGTAGGACCGGATTTTTCACAGAAAAAGATATACATATATTCTTAGTTTGCTGCTTTCACCTACAGATTTGTCAAGTTATCTACTGAGACTATCAGACAGGAAAACATAGAAGATCAATAAAAATGAAATACCCATCATTCATCAGGGATTCTCCTTCAATTATTGTACTCAATTTTTTGCTTGCACCAAGTTCTTTCAGCAGAGCTACAACAGCCACAGGATCGGTCGCACTCAGAAGTCCCCCGAGCAACAAAGAGGTTTTCCAACTCCAATTATATGGAAAAAAGAGCTGCAGCATGAAATTGCACAGTAATTTAACAAGCAGACTATAGCATATTAAAAAATTGCAGCCTTTTAGGGTACCTTCAAAGCAGATCCAAGACAAAATGTTGAAATCAGAACTCCAGGACCAGCAAGTAGAAGCATTTGTGCCATACACCTCTATAGAAAAATTGGCAAAAAGCAGCTGGTTTATACAATGCACACAGCTACACTTCCCAGGCAATACAAGCAATAAAATCATTCAAACTTTTTTATTAAGGAATTAAAACCATAATGAGGTGTCAAAGGAAACAAACCCAATAACAAGAAGGTAAAACAAAGAGCCAAAAGAAATTATATAAATGCATATAAATGTATTATAATTTCCAAATACTGCCAGATAATGTTTGATTTCAAGTCCAACCATTAAGCATATTTATCTAACATGAGATTTCAGTAAATTAACAATTGTTTGATCAAATATGAACTACAACACACCGAAACTTAAACATAAGCAACCAGCTTTCCGTTTTCCGAACCTTAGAAACCATTGGACTCATACCTAACCTGATGAATTTCAAAAATGTTTGCTGAAATTGTACTAGAATACTAAAAAGAGAGTGAATGAAACCTTAATTTGGTGGATTTCCATAGAAAAGGAACTCTCAAAAAGAAGGGCAGGAAGGAAAACAGCCAATAAAAGGTCAGGATCAATATTTGCCCCTGCACCATTCAATTAGGGAACATGAACTAAGTTATTATAAAAAATAATCGTCAGCCAGTCAGGCAGTCAGTCAGTCAAGGCTTTTAATAAAATGAACTTACAAAGCCGAATTCCGTCCCCAATCCTTCCCAATTTATGACTAGTACCATATTCTGCACAGCAAAAAAAGAAAAAAATCAGGAAAACGAAAAGAAAATCCTTTCTTTCTTGATCCATCTAAATTATGATTGATTACGAAAGAAAGAAAGAAACATTTAATTACCCAAGGATCCAAGACCAATGCCGATGACGAGTAAAGCAACAGTGTAAGGGACTCGGGTACCCCGCAAGACATGCCTGCACGCAATCCCGAGCACCAAACTTAACCCAAAGAAAATCACAGCGTCCGATGGACTCCATTCATCTGAAGACGACTCCAATATTCTAAACGGTAAGATTCCGTCTCCTTCTGTCATACTCCCCATTCAATTTCACCTCCCCTGAAAACTGGTTGTTTCGGTAGAGAAGGAAAATCTGACTTTTGCACTGACTTCCTCTCCTTTGTTTTAGGAAGTTAAATAACTAGCCAGCAGGAAGAAAACAGTCAAACTCGCTGGTTGTTTATTTTTTATTAAGAAATAGTCCGAATTTCTACAAATTGCATGCATTTCTGTTCACCTGATTTGATGGGTTTGCAAAGGCTTTAGTGGCATAATTTACCCCCAAGCTACTGGAGTTGTGACAAAAGAAGGTTTAAATGATCAATTTAGGCTATTTAGACCTCAGATTGTTAATTTTTGAACAAATTTTTTTTTTTTTTAATATATCTAACAATCAACGCTTTGACCATCAAAGCATTTTTCAAACTAAAACTAGCAGACAGGTAACATATATTGATAGATGCAGAATCCTTGTAGTGTAATGTTGCATGATCTGTAGTTGGGAGATGCGATTGAAAGTAGTATACTTGGGGGACTTGTTTGAAGTTTACCAAGTGATTAATACAAAGAGACAATCTCGGTAATTCAGTGTCTGACGACAGTGGTTCCTTGTAGCAGCATGATTGTATAATTTTAGTGATCCATAATATGAAAGCATTTTTTTGTCTTTTAATTGGATATCCAATAAAATGTTGACAGCCAGAAATCCAAACGCAGCTTGTTTCAGTTAATTTAGGTGACGCCTTCCTCGATAAAGACAAATGTACGAATTTGTTATTGAAATTTTTAGCATTTTATGAAGTGCTGATTTAGTGCGAATGATAGCTCATACCTAATTTTTTTAGTTAATTGCATAAAATATCTCTCTATTTAGCATTTTATGAAGTGCTGATTTGGCTCGAATGATAGATCATACCTAATTTTTTTTAGTTAATTGCATAAAATATCTCTCTATTTTTGTGATCTTTTTTAATATGACCATTGTATTTTTGTTAATGTGACCATTCTATTTTTTTTTTCAGTTAATTTTTGAATTGAAACTAATAATTGACATAAAAAATCCATATAGCATGCCATATCAAATTAATTTGCCACATAAAAAAATCAAAAAAATTAGCTGAAAAATAAAAAACTAAAAAAATAGCAATCGATTTATGAGATTATATAAGGGTTGAGATTTTAGCTATGAGAGAGATTTTTATTCACAACATTATAGTTGATATACTCGTCTATTCACCTACAAAGAAAGGAAAAAAGCTTACAAAACATAAAATTTTTTAACTTATTCTCTCTCCACTCATACAACCATTTAAACATAGAAGAACAAACATAAAAACATAAACATATCACAATTTACTATATAACCAACTCAAGATCTCATCACTTAGTTTCAAAATTTCTTTTAAACATTTTATTCTCTTGTCTCTCTCTTCACTCACACAGTCTTCCTCTACTCATAAATCAAACCTCACCTCATGAAACACGAGTACACTTTTTTGCTCTCTCAAACCCATTTCTCTCTTTATTAGAAAATTGCAAATTTTTCTCTTAATTAAAGCAAATTCAAGCTCAAATCATACTTACGGGATTAATCTCATATAGGTTTGCTTCAAGTCGCTTAATTTTTTTGGTTGCAATATTAGAATCAAGAAATATCGAATATCGTGTCAAGATATTGAGTAGTTTCAAAAACTCAAACGTGTTTTCTTAGAATGTAATGATTAGAAGGTGTTTAAAAGGTGCGTAAGGAGTGAAAATCTAAAAAAGGTTTAGTTTTCTATAAAAAGGATGTTGACTAGTGGTCGGTTATAGGCTCGCTAATTATACTTATCCTTCTTCTTTTTTTAGCTTTGTGCTAATTTAGTGTTACATTTTATGGGTTTTCAATTTCTTGGACATTTATTGAAAATGGGTTTTGATCAAGATAATTATTTGTATAAGAGGATTACATATTTGTTGGTCTCGGTTAGAGAGTTGGGTTAGCACACGAGGTGTTTGATGAAGGTTGTGTCAAAGACTTGGTTTCTTAGAGTCTTATCGGCTTGTTGTCATGAAGGGTTAATTAAAGAGGGTCGTAAGTATTTTGGCCAAATGAAATCCAAATTCAACCTATCTCCCTAGCCTAAACATTGTTCTTGTATGTTAACCTTCTTGGTAGAGTCTGGTTTGTTGGAGAAGGGTGAAAAGCTTATTAAAACAATGCCAATAGAGGTAGATGCTATGGTGTGGGGTGCTTTGTTCTTGTGGAATTCGTAGGAATCTTTCGATAAGGAAAATAAAAGCTTCAAAGCTTCTGAGTTGGATCCCATAACGAGTGGAATATATGTTGTGCTAGCAAATATGTCTAGAAAAGCCGATAAGTGAAAAGGGGCTCGAAAAGTAAGAAAGATGATGATAGAAAGAGTAGTTAAGAAGACTCTCGGTTCTAGTTAAATTGAAGTAAATGGCATTGTCAATGAATTTATTATTAGGGATAAATCTCATCCTCAATCTAAACATATTAATTTTTTTCTTTTAGTTTTTTTGACCATTTTTTTATTTTTTCCACATGAAAAATTAATCTAACATTACTCGTCACGTGAATTTTTTATGCCATGTGTTAGTTTTAATTGGAAAATTGGCTAAAAATTAGTAGGAGAAGCCCCGTTAAAAAAAAAAAAATCAAAAGTAGAGAAAGGTGATGAATTAAAAAAAAGGTACAATGGTCGCATTAAAAAAATCGGAAGAATAAAAGAACACATTATGCTATTATCCCTAGTTTTTTCAACATCTAATGAAGTGTTATCTTGATAGCAATGCATAAATCTAAATGCCAACCTTTTTTTTTTTTCCTCCTCGCATTATCTCCATCTCTAACTATTGTATTGACATACCGAGTATGAAAACCATAATCAACAATTACAATTATGTGAAACAATAAGATAGCAATTTATTATATTTTTAACATGAAATAATAAGATATAAATTTATCATACCCATAAATTTTAAAATTTCACGGTTTCCATATAATTAAAAAATAGCATACATTGATTCATATTTAGATACTTGAATCAATATTGAGAGCAAGTAATAAATGAAGAATTGCTTCTCTATTAATCTCTTTCAAAATCAATAGTTATTTTTTCTTTTTAGTTTTGTTATTTTTTCATTAAGAGACAAAGAGAATATCGAACTAGTTCTTTTATAGTCTTAACCAAGTCTCCAATTAAGACTTGTACTTGTATCATCCTTAATTATATGCATCATAATTAATACATATATCATAATTAATTAGATCCACTTTAAATATAATGTATCATATAGCTCGTAATTGATTTTACATTAAAATACACATATTATGTAGGCCATAATTTATCTTACATTCTTCCGTTTGACTCATACGAGATTTCCTTTATGATTTAATAAGAAGAACACAATAGGTAAAACTAATAATTGTAAGCTATAATGGTATATTAATATTAATTAAAATACTAATGCCAATCATGACGATTGTATGCCATTTTCTCAATATAATCTCTTAAATATACCATAACTCTAAGTTTTAACTTAACATGATCTTTAATGAAAATAATGATAGTCCAACTTTAATGTCGTTATTATAAAACTATTCATGTCAATATTATTTTACATCAATTATGTATATGAAATAGAAAACAGAAAATATTAGAAACACAAGTGAGTTCAAAGTGTCAAATATATAAACTTAATACAAATGTAATACAATCTCACTAATGACGTCCAATAATTCCAATCCTTCCGACATGTTTATTAAATATTTTGGATGCCAATCTTTTTGTCAAAGTATCTATAATCATAATATTGCGTCTAATATTCTTAATTGACACTATTTGTTTTTGAATTTTTTTCTTTAATGATAGAGTATTTGATTTTCATATGTTTAATACCCTTAGAATACTTGTTATTTTTAGAAAAGAAAATTGATGCAAAGTTATACAATAATTTTTTAACGATCCGGCAATGTTATAGACAACTCTAATCCATAAAATAAAGTTCTACAACTATAATCTATGAATGATGGCCTTTGAGCATGGTACTAACTCGGATTTTATGGTGAATACGACGAATGAAAGACTCGCTTCATACTCTTTTATGGAATTGTTCCTCTAGCTAATAGGAACAAGTAGCTAAATATGAATTTTCTTAAATCAACACATTCGAGTAAAATCTAAATTTGAATATTCAATCACCTCAAGATGATTGAATTTTTTATAAGTGATTATGTGATATTTTATTTCTTGCAAGTATTTAAAAACTTTCTTTATGGCTTTTAGCTAAACATTAAACTCCTAGCAATAGATGCATAAAAAATATTTTTCATCCGTTCTAGTTCTAACTTATTTTTCGGACATTGTACAAGGTTCAATTTGTCTCCCTTTTGAATAGAAACAACCTCTCCTCAACAATTATACATATTAAACTCTTCTAGAATTTTATTAATATAGGCTTTTTAAGATAACTCTAACGAGCTTTTGTGATCTATCATAGAATATTTATATTACTATTAAACGGGTCATCTCTTCCATCTCTTTTATTTCAAGATTCTTAGAGAAGTATTTCTTAGTTTCATGTAACAACCAAAGTCAGTAGTAGTAAACAAAATCTCATCAACATACATAATAATAAAATAAACTTGCTCTATTAACCTTCATATATATACATCGATCAACGATATTTTTTTAAAATCTAAAAGAAGTGATAATATCATTAAACTTAAGATACTAATGTCAAACGGCTTGTTTAAATTTGCATATTGATTTTTTTCTTTAATTTATATATCATGTGTTCCTTTTCTTAATTGAAAAGCCCTCGCATTGGTCCATATAGACCTTTTCTTTTAATTTTTTTTATTAAGAAGATAGTTTTAACATCTATTTGGTGTAATTTCAAGTCATTATGAGCCACCAAAACCATGATAATTCTAAGATAATTTTACTTAGAGATTGGTGAAAAAATCTCTTTTATAATCAATGCCATCTTTTGATTGAAACCTTTGACAACAAAAAGTCTACCTTTATATCATTTAAAATTATCATTTGAGTCATGTTCGGTTTTAAAAACATATTTACACCTAACTTTTTAATATCCTCTAGCAAATTTAAGGAGATTCCAAACTTGATTTTGATCTATAGATTTTTAAATCATTATCTTTAACACTAATTCACTTAGTTGAATCATTATATTTCATGACTTGTAAAGATAAAATTAGATCATTGCTAGTACCAAAGTTAATTTTTAACTCTTGTATGTAAACTATATAGTTGTCGAAAATATCAAATCTTTTTTCTTTTTAAGATCTTCTTAATGTTATTTCTTATGATTCAACTATTATAGGTTCATTATTGATATTTTTATTATGAAGAATTTGGTTATTAATTTTTTGTTTTTTACCATTCTTGGGTTGAACTATAATTTCAAGAACAACAATGAAGAAACTTTGGGAATGAGAATTTCCACCTTAACTTCTTGAGTCCCAAGAGTATGCATTCTCTCACTCCCACTAATGTCATTATTTTCAATGAACTTAGCATTTATAGATTTAATAATTCTTGTATTATGATTAGAACAATAAAATCTATACCTATTGAACTTTTTGGGATATCCAATGAATTAACAACTGTTTGTTCTAAAGTTCAATTTCTTTTCATGGGAATTATAAATCCCCATTTTTATTGCACAACTCTAAATATATATAGGTGCCTCAAACTAGGTTTTGTTTTTATCCATAGCTCGAATGAAAGTTTTGGAACTACCTTAATAAGAATCCTGTTTAGCAAATACATGGCAGTTCATATAAGGATAAAGAATAATGACTCATCATACTTCTAACCATTTCTATTAAAATACTTTTTTTTTCTACTACACCATTTTAATGTGATGTTTTTTGGCATTGTTTATTGAGCATAAATTCTATGTCTTTCAAGAAATTTGGTAAATGGACATGGATATTATCTTGATTTTCATACCTTCTATAATGTTCATCACCTCTATCCGACCTTATAACTTTCAATTTCTTATCTAATTACATCTTAATCTCTTTAATATATAATTCAAATACAATAACTGATTGAGATTTATCATGTAATATATAAATATAACCATAATGTGAAAAATGATCAATAAAGGTGATCAAATATTTTTCTCTACCAAAATTTAGGGCATCAAAAGGTTCACATATGTCGATATGTATAATCTCAAGAAGTTGTGTGCTTCTCGTAGCTCTTTTCTTAGTTTGCTTTTTTAATACAACCAATACACATTTCAAGATCAGCAAAATACAAATTTCAAAGAGTTTCATTCATTACTAATCGTTGTATCCTTTCTTTAGATATATGATCCAAACATTATGCTACATGTAAATAAAATTCTCATTAATTAAACTCGTATTTATTGCCAATATTATGATGCAAAATTATTAAAGTCTTGCTGAATGTATTATCAAGTCTAAACTTGTAGAAACTATCACATGATAGTCTAAAACAAATAAGATTATTATTCTTAAATAAACTAAAAGAGCGTAACTAAACTTAAAAACATATTTTTCGACATAAAGTTTTGGTAAAGAAACTAAAATCTAGGAAAGAGTAGGAACATAAAGAGTTTGAAACAAATCCAAATAATGTCTAATATCTAAAATTAAATTATAAGTGTTAATGTATTTAATTAAAACTTATTTTTTATGCTCCATTAACACAAAAAATTCATTTGACTTTGTGGCTTGAATCGTAATTAATCTTTCCATCGTACTTGAAGTATAAGTGATGGAATTCGATCCATCAAATATTCTAAAGAACTTCAGTAAAGTTTGCTTTAAAATATTCTAAACCACAATGTGTACTTTTTTTCTTAAAACCAAAATTTAAATTTTTTTCATAAAAATCAATTAGATTATAGAGAGAGTTATCTAGTTGATGAAAAAAAAGAGATTGCAGAGTAGAAATAAAAAGACTATAAACAAGAAAAATAACCTTCGTGTCTATTTATTCCTTACTTAGCCAAACTATCATCAACTATGTTATCATCTATATTAATTCTACTAAAACTAGTTGACTTCGGATTATGAATACAAGAATTGATGCTCATAAAAATATTATGCATTCTCCAAGGCTTCTCGTTAGCATTTTGATGAACCTAAAGTATTGCGTTTATCGAATCGGTTTCTATGATCTAGTTCATCCCATGAGAAAGATGATGGGATGAACTTATCTTTAAGACTTTATTAATAGCTAAAACCTCAT